CTCTTCTGAAAGGGCACCCATAAGTTGCTCTGAAATTGAGGATCAAACATCCTTGACCTTCGGTTTTGTGGGAGCAGAAAATGTATTCTGACCATATAAAAATATTCACACCAATTGTTTGTAACTCAGTTCCCAGATCCCACTCCATCCTATTCCAACTCCTCTAGCTACCAGAGGTCTCCTCCCCATTAAAGAGCCAATTCTTATTATAGTCCAGCAGTGGAACTATTGGAAGTTCTACCCCTCCTTCAATTCATGCAGTTATGACTGGAAATTTGCCAAAAATATTCTAGTGGTACTTGAAAATGAGAATATTCCAGGCCTTTTGCTTGTGTCATTGACTGGACAGGGTCATCATTTTGAGATTCCTTGCCTGATAAGATCCCTAAATAAAAACCAATTCCCTTTATCTTAAATCCATACCTGTTGGAATTGCATGATGGAAGCATAACTTCACACTCCAAATTTTAGATTTTTGAACTGTAAGAACCTTCTAAGAGATCAACCTTATTTCATAATAAAAGCGAAGAGTGCGTTGGGATGTCGAAAGTTGATATTGTACCTGTCTTAATAATAACTTATGAAATGAACTGAAAATTTGAGACTTCCTTTATTGGAACTCTTATTGAAGCATGGAATATGAGGTTTTCATCATTTAATGAACTGTTAGAGGAAGAAGTGTGGGGAGATGTCATAATATAGGACAATGAAAATGAGGACATAATTTTCAATTTAAAACATCAACCAAAATATGAACCTTTAAGTTGAAAAATATTCCTGGTTTTATGTTCTCATGTTTCTTAACACTTTCCGGGTATAATATGAACAGGACAACAAAGGCTGGAATATACTAGAACACACTGGGAAATTGAACCAAATCAGTCTTGTATTTTGTTGATATTGTGCAACATATTTGCAGGTTGTTGTGTGCTAGAAATATGAGCCTCACTCTCTCTCCGGTGCCAATGTATTTGGTGAAACTAGATAAAGCAGGAAATTGTTGGAACTGTGCTCTGCTCTAACTCTGCTCACTTTTATGAGTTTCTGACTTCCTAACATAAGCCATAGGAGATGTATGGTACTTTTATCCATATATGTATTGACATGATGTTTGAATCTCAGAAGGGTATCATCCAATGCATATTTTGTCATTTTAGCATAACAACACAGGAGAAGGAGATGCACTGAAGAACGGCGATAGTCAATACAAAGCCTTAACTTTGTTTTGCTCTCCACCAATGCTACCAGAACTTCAATGTATTTCCAGCATTGTCTGTTTTTAAAAAAGGATAATGTTGTCTATTTGTCCATGGCAATGAAGGAGGTATTATTACATTAAAGTCCTGAAAGCCACTGCAATCCAGCTAAGAGCCTTCTTTGTCACATAGGTTGAGACCATTCAAACAGTGCCACCTTCCCTTCTTTAAGGTGACCCACATGGCCAAATTTTCACTAGGGAAAACCCTATCCAAACACTAAACTCATAGCTTTGTCTAATTTCTCTCTTCTTTCCCCTCACGCTGTCTCTGAGGTCATCTTATTCTCGAAGACTCACATCTCTCCCTCAAGCTTATTCCTATTGAATGCTAAACACACAACTCTTGAGGTAGCAAGATGGCAGAAAAGGCTGATTAGGTAATGTTTGGGCTCCTGGCCTGTCCACTCCCTTTTGGCCTGACCAGCTGCGCCCTTCTTCTTTTATTATTTCTTCTTATTATTATTCATTAATTTCACCTTTTGTATCAAATTCATCTTTTCTTCTTTCTGAGGTTGAGATGCAGCAGTTTTGGTTGGACAGCCTCCAGTCCTTGACAGTTTTGACAGGCTCCAGTCCTTGGCCGTTTCACCAGGTCCCCAGTTCTTGGCAGTTTTGACAGGTCCCCAGCCCTCTGCAGTTGGACAGGACCCAGTCCTTGGAAGTTGGAGAAGGCCTCATTCCTTGGCAGTTATGGCAGCCTCCCATCCTCAACAGTTGGGCAGGCCCGGTCTTTGGCATTGGAGACCAAGAGACCATGGAATGAAGAATAAATGATGTTTGTCTTTGTTATTTTTAAAATTTCTAATTTATGTAATTAAATGGTGCTGCTTTATGGCAACTTATACACATTTTACAGTATATTCACAGATACAAGTAACAATAAATTTCAATTTATTTCTGTCTATCTCCTTCTGATGCCCATGTTAGCTGATAATGTTAACAATTCACTCTCCTCAGGTATTGTCTATGCTCCTTCAAATCTCATCTCCATCTTCATCCCTCTGTAACTAAACCACTGTTTGACTTTTTCCATTCCTGCAAACTCCTGCCAAATTTCCAACCTCTTTTTCTCCTCTTCAAATTCCTTGAATATATTCCCAAATCCATTTCTATTGTTCCAGGTATTGTATGTTTAAATCCCTTCACTCAAGTTACCAGACCTAGCACTGTACCAAAATGGCTCTTATTAAAGTCGTACTAGAACATGCTAAACTATCCTTGCTCATTCTTCTTGATCTGTTTGGAGCCTCTGGGAGGATTCACCATCATTGTGCTGCATCAGACTGCACTCGCTTGGTTTCGTTCTTCTTTATCCAATCATACCTAGGAAATCACCTACAATGGTTTCTGTTCCCATTCCTGTACAATGACCTCTGGTATTTTCCAGTGATCTATCCTTAGCCCTTAAATTTCTCATCGACACATTGTCCTTTGGAGATGTCATTCAAAAACATATGCAACTCCAACTCACCATCAACTCATTAGTCCCACCAGTATTCCAAATCATCAAACAGCTTGTTGATGTTCAGTTTTAGATGAACAGCGATTTCTTTCAACTAAATATTCAGAAAGCCAAAGCCATTGCTTTGGGTTCCAGCCAAAAACTCCATTCCCTTATCAACAAGACCACTATTTCCACTACTGCAACATGAACATTGCCTCAATGGTAAAAAGAATTGTTTCAAATCCTTTTATAGCCTTGCCCCTCCCTATCACTGTAATCAACTCCAACTCAATAACACTGTGAAATTTCTACAGACCTCCAATGCTGGCATTTTCTGCATAGCAATTTTTCACTGCCATCCCATTGCTGAGGCCCTCACCTCTGGAATTCCCTTCTTTAATCTGTCTGCCTCTCTTTCTGTTTATGATGCTTCTTAACATATATTAAATGGAGTGAGAGGAATTGTGGTACTGTCACTGGACTAGCAATCCAGGAACCAAGTCTAATGTTCTGCGGACAAAGATCCAAATATCAGCAAAGCAATTGGTGTATTTTTAATTCAATGAGTAAACTGACATTGAAACCTATTCTCAGCCATAGTGACCATGACAACTTTGGTGCACTTAGTGTTTTTTACAGAAGGAAATCCTCCATCCTTAGTGGGTCTGGCCTATGTGTGACTCTAGACTTACAGTCATGCAAGTGACTTTTACTTGCCCTTCGAAAAGGTGTGATAAGTCATTTAGAACAAGAATAATTAAGAGTGTGGAATTTGGGAAGTCTGCACCCTGGTGGTAGAATACCAAACTAGCTTATTAGTAAACCACGACACCAGGAGTCCCTGAGCTGCCAAGAAAGTAGTACTGGCTTAGGGTTTAAACAGGACTTGTATGAATCTCCCATGGATCTTAAAGGAATTTTGTCTTCCAGTATCCTTGATCTCATGAGAGACTTTACAATGACTGGTGAAGGGCCTAAGCACACTCGAATCATGTCAGGCCTCCCACACAGAAGCCACGTGGTGACCCCATCAGTTCCCAGCCAGGAAAGAGATGGGTTTGTGTGTGTCTATGTTTGTTTGTGTGTGTCTGTGTCTGTGTGTGTGATGAGGACATTTGAAGCAGGACCTGAATCGCAGCCAAAATCTCCTTATGTGGCTCAGTATCAAATTTTGTTTGGGAGGCCTTGGGACATGTTGCTACATTAAATTGTAAGTATTTTATTTCTTTTCATGGGTGATTCTACCCATAGTGGGAAGATTTCTTCTGATTCCTGGCAAAAGCATAAAGCAATTCAGTTTGAATTCTTTTATATTTTGCTAGAAGAACACACACACAGGTAACCTTCTTCCCTTGTTTAACATATTAACATATGGTAACAAAGGAAAGTGTATGAAACATCTTTATTTTCAGATACATTGCACCTCACGTTTATTATATATACACACACTCCTGGTGGTGACATTTAAATTTGTCTCAGGGGTGAAAATGAAGTATTGGCAGCAAGCACGATGATAACCAATAAGAGATGACAAGCTCCCTGGTGAACAACATGTTTTGAACTGGATTGCTCTTGTGCTAATACAATTTCAACTGAAGTAGTCTTCAGTTTTATTATCCGGCAGGTCACAAGGGAATTACAAAGAACAGCACAGAAACAGGTCGTTTTGCTTGTGGTTATGTGCCACATCTCGCCCTATCAGCACAACCTTCCATTCCTTTCTTATTCATGTCCTTAGCTAGATTCCCTTAAAAAAAATCTATGCTATTTTAACTCAACCCCTTAATGAATTAACAGGTTCCACATTCAGGAGACATATATCTTTCATATACGTTCATTACCAATCCACCGCAAACTGCCTGAAAGCAGATAAAATGATGCTGCCTAGTCAGCGCAGACAGCTTAAGTTGCTGCCTGAACCTGCTGGCGCTAGGACTGCAGTTGATCCAATTGAAAGACACTTGTTACTTCCTCGTTTAAAAATAACCTGTTGTGTCAGACTCCCAGGTACAGCGCAGCGTGTGTGAGGTGAAAGCTACCTTCCGAGTTTCAGATCCACATTTATCGACTGATCTCCCAGACCTTACTTTGGAGATTTTTCTCACAAAAACAAAATAAAAACGATGAAGACTTCCTTCCTCCAGATCCTACAGGATCCTCACCTAGTCGCCAGTTTTCAGAGATGCTGTGGTTTATTTCTGCGAGTTGAAGAACGCCTTTCCGGCAGCTGCAGCAACTCTCATGGCAACACAACTGGGATCCAGGGACCTGTGGAAAGAGCTGGTGTCATCAGGACCAGTGAATGTACGAATGGTAACCAGAGATACAAGATCAATGGGTCACATCAATACCCTCATGGACAGGAAAGCAAGGACAATCATGGGGTGAGCGGATGTGTAGTCAAGGTGAGAAATGCGCCAAACCGTGATTGCAATCATTTCACTTTCTTTTCTTCATTCCTGCTGCGCTCCTTTAATAAATTCGTTTTGTATAAGTCTCCCTTCTCCAACTCTGTCTAGCCGTTTTAAAATATTCGCTCTGGACTTTGCACCATAAGTATTGTTTAACTAGAAGGCGTTCCATTGCATTGATAGGAGATTGGAACATTCTTAAGCCGGTAGAACTGCTCTTTCCAGTTAGCCAGCTTATTAGCAGAGAAAGTAAAGCTACCATATGGGAGGAGTCGAATAAAACAAATAAGGTGACTGTTAATGGCGAGATAAACAACTACAGTACAATCTACCGCGGGGCAAATCAGATCTCCAGGTTATTCACACTGGGCGCTGCCACTGAAGGTAAACTGCCAATTGGAAAGTTATTTACTACAAATATTAAGGAGTTCAAATAAAAAATGTCGGTTTATGGAATACAAGAACGTCTGTATTTGCTCAGTGTTATATTGCTGATACATGATAGTGCAACATGGGGTTAGATTGCCTGGCCATTGACTATCAACGTGCGTTAAACCTAGATCAGGAGCCCATTCGACCGAGCTTGTCCGTACTTCCTCTAAGCAAGAACATATTAGCCAGTGCCAATCCTCCATTCTTTCTCTGTAGCCCCGGTTTTTTTTTCACTGTTGAGATGCTTAAAAGTCCCTTTTAAAAGCCACAGTTAAATCTGTCTCCAAAAACATTTTATAATTAAAAACCGAAAGAACTGTGGATGCTGTGAATCAGGAACAAAAACAAAGTTGCTGGAAAGCTCAGCAAGTCTGGCAGCATCTGTGAAGGAAAAAAAGTTAACGCTTCAGGACCGGTGACCCTTCCTCAGATGTTCTGCTCTACTCTGCTGTGTCTAAATGCTTTATGATTTTCTATCAAATCTCCTCTCAACCTTCTTCAATGAGAACACCCCCACCTTCTCCACACAATTGAAAAAGATTGAACTTACTAATTGCTGAAACAATTAGAGTCACAGGGTCATAGAGATGTATGGCATGGAAACATTTTTCATGTCCCCAACTCATCCTTGCCAACCAGATATCCCAAAATAAAGCTAGACCCATTTGCCAGCATTTGGCCCATATCCCTCTAAACCCTTCCTATTCATATATCCATCCAAATGCCTTTTAAATGATATAATTGTACCAGCCTACACCACTTCTTCTGGCAGCTCTTTCCTTACACAGACCACCCTCTGCATGAAAATGTTGCCCCTTAGGCCCCTTTTACCTCTCAGTTAAAACTGTGCCCTCTAGTTTTGGACTCCCCTACCCCGGAAAAAGACTTGGTCTATTTACGCTATCAAGGCCCCTCATGATTTTATAACCTCTATAAGGACATCCCTCAGCCTCCAATGCTCCAGCGAAAATAGCCCTTGCCTATTCAGCCTCTCCCTATACCTCAAACCTTCCAAACCCAGCAACATCCTTGTAAATCTTTGCTGAATCCTTTCAAGTTTCACAACATCCTTCCTATAGCAGGGAGACCAGAATTGCACACAGTATTCCAAAATTGGCCTAACCAATGTCCTGCACAGCCACAACATGACCTCCCAACTCCTATACTCAGTGCACTGGCCAATAAAGGCAAGCATACCAAACACTTTCTTCACTATCCTATCTAGCTGTGACTCCACTTTCAAGGAGCTATGAACTTGCATTCCAAGGTCTCTTTGTTCAGCAACACTTCCCAGGACCTTACCATTAAGAGTATAAGTCCTGCCCTGATTTGCCTTTCCAAAATACAGCACCACACACTTATCTAACTTAAACCTCATCTACCACCCCTTGGCCCATTGGCCCATTTGATCAAGGTCCTGCTTTACTCTGAAATAACCTTCACTGTCCGCTACACATCCAATTGTGGTGTCATCTGCAAACTTACTCACTACACCTCCTATGTTCACATCTAAATCATTGATATAAATGAGGAAAAGCAATAGACCCAGCACTGATCCTTGTGGCATACCGCTGGTCACAGGCCTCCAGTCTAAAAGCAACCCTCCACTACCGCCTTCTGTCTTCTACCTTTGAGCCAGTTCTGTAGCCAAATGAATTGTCCTCCCTGTATTCTATGCAATCTAACCTTGCTAACCAGTCTACCATGAGGAACCTTATCGAACGCCTTACTGAAATCCATATAGATCACATCCACTGCTCTGCCCTCATCAATCCTCTTAGTCACTTCTTCAAAAAACTCAATTAAGTGAGACACAATTTCCCACACACAGAGCCATGTTGATTATCTCTAATCAAGTCCTTGCCTTTCTAAATACATGTAAATTCTGTCCCTCAGGATATCCTCCAAGAACTTACCCACCACCAACGTCAGGCTCACCGGTCTATAGTTCCCTGGCATTTCCTTAGCACCTTTCTTAAATAGTGGCACCACATCAGCCAACCTACAGTCTTCTGGCACCTCACTGTGGCTATCGATGATACAAATGTCTCAGCAAGGGGCCCAGCAATCACTTCCCTAGCTTTCAACAGAATTCCAGGGTACGCCTGAACAGATCCCGAGGATTTATCCATCTTTATGTGTTTTAAGCCGTCCAGCACCTCCTCCTCTGTAATAGGGACATTTTCAAGATATCACTATATTCTTGTGATTCTTTTCTGTACCTTCTCTAGAGTCTTCACATCTTTCCCAATATGTTGCACACATATTGGATACATACTGCAACTAAGGTTGTGCAAAATTATCACAACTTCATTGTTTGTGGGTTATAGGCGGTTTTGAAATCAATATGTTTGAAATCTGAAATCAATCTAAGCTGACATCCACAGACAATAAGAAAGGAGTGGCAATGGTTTCCTTTGGAAGAAATGAATGGAATGGAGCTTGTTAAGTGATTCAGTGGACTTGAAATAGCATCACAATCAAATGATTTCTTTGATAGGCTAAATGAGCATCGTCTATGTATTTTTCAGTAAACAGCTAGAACTACAGGCTCCAAAATACTTTGTAGTAATTACAATCCCCTTCAGCCAAAAAAATTCTGTGTTATTTTACAGATAGGCAACAGTCCGATGATTATCAGACCACTGTAGTACATAATAGTCCATAACTATATTGGCAAACTGTGAAAATGTGGGTAACTTTACTGAAAAAAAAAACATACAGACCATAGACCCTGCCAGCGTTCTCACAGCTTACTTCATTGCTTTGGTGAGGACAGATGGAAGGATCAGAGAATAGGTGCAAATGGAATAGGATACTGGAAGAAGCCCCTTCTCTGCCAGAACCCTCCCAGAATGTTTAGGACTAAAATCTTTCTATCTATTATTTACTTATTTATTAACCTATTTATTATCTAGAAATCATTTCAGCCAGGAAGAGGATTGGGTCTAAAGGTTGCACATAATCGGTTCAATTAATATGACATTGCACAACAAATTCTACTTTGCTATTCTACATAAGGTCTCAAAATATATATTAAAAAGTTCCAGAGGCAATGATGATCTGAACAAGAGCATGTCAGTAGTTGGGCACATGGTAATAAAAACAACAGCAACACCCTGTATTTATATTGTGCCTTCAGCAAAATAAAACCTCCAAATATGATTCACAGGAGTTTTATGAAGCAATATTTGACACTGAGCCACATCAGGCAGTACCCAGGTAGATGTTGAATACCTTGATAGGTTTTAAATGATGTCTTAAAGGAGAAAAGTAATGTGGAGACACGTGGGAAGAGAATTCCAGAACCTGGGGCTTGGCGGCTGTAGACACTCCCACCAAGGGTTGAGCAATTTAAACCGAAGATGGTTATGAGGTCAGAATTAGAGGAGTATAGATATCTAAGGATGATAAAACTGTGAGATATTACAGAGATGAAAGGAACAAGGCCATGGAGCAAATTGCACCATGGACATGTATATTTTAAATGGGTGCAGTGGTAACGTCACTGCGTTAGTAATAACTAATTCTCTGGGGAAATGGTTCAAAATCCACTGCAGCTGATGAAATTTAAATTAATAAATCTGAGATTAAAAGCTGGTTTACACCATCGTTGATTTTCATAAAAACCCAACTGGTTCAGTAATGCTATTAGGAATGAAATCTGCTGTCATTACCCGAATATGCCCCACATATCACTCCAGACCCACAGCAATGTGGCTGACTCTCAGAGGCCCTCTGCAATGGCTTAGCATGCCATTCAGTTATATTACACTTGTACAAAGTCTGGATGAAACTGCATTAACCTGAAAACGACAAGTAGTAAGGTAACCAAGAAGCTAGAAAATCCTACTGACCTTATTTTCTTCAATCTATCTACCACAGATGCATCTGTCCATGACATTGTTAATAGGAGGGAGCACCGCACAGTCCTTGTGTAGATGAAGTCCCATCTTTACATTGAGGATACCCTCCATCGTGTTGGGAAGCACAATTACTGACAGACCTTGAAGTGACCTAGAAACTGAAAACTGGGCATCTGTGAAGTGCACTGCACTTAACCACATTAACCACAGCAGAGTTGTATTCAACCATAATCTGTAACCTCACAGCCCTGTATATCCCCTCAATCTATCATTACCATCAACCAGGGAACTTAATCTGGTTCAATGAAAACTGCAGGAGGACATGCAAGAATCAACCTGGGTGTCAACCTAGTGAAGCTACAACACAAGATTACTTGCATGCCAACAGCAGAAACTGCATGAGATAGACAGAACTAAACAACTCAAAACCAACAGGTCAGATCTAACCTTTTGAGTCCTACTACATCTAACAATAAATGGTGGTGAAAAATTAAACTACCAACAGGAGGATGAGGCTCCACAAATAACCCATCCTTAATGATGGGGAGCCCAGAACATCAGTGCAAAAGAAATTTGTCAGCATCTTCTGTCATAAGTGCCAAGTGGATAATCCATCTCACACTCCTCTTGTGGTCCCCAGCATCATAGATGCCACTTCTCAACAAACTCAACTCACTTTATATGATACAAAGAAATGGCTAAAAGTACTGGATACTGCACAGGCCCTGACACAATTCTAGAATTGTTTTGAAGTCATCCACTCTAGAATAAGCTGGGCCTCAACACAGGCTGTTCAATGCAGCCACAACACTGGTATCGACCCAACAATATAACAGAATTTCCATGTATAGCATACACAAAAAGCAGGACAACCCAACCCAGCTAACATTGCCCAATCAGTCTACTCTCAATCATCAACAAAGTAATGGAAGGGATCGTCAAATGTGCTATTCTGTGGCACTTAATCACCAATAACCTGTGTACTGACAGTCAGTTGGGTCTCCCTTCCCAAAATCACCATGGTCTCATTATTCACTTGGTTCAAACATGGACGAGAGTTGAATTCCAGAGGCAGTTGAGGGTAATTGCTTCTTGTGTCAAGGTAACATTTCACCATCTCCAACAAGAAAGAATCTAATCATCACCCCTTGCTAAAACTCTCACTACCGTCATCCTGGGGGATCACTTTTGATCAGAAATCAAATTGGACCAGCTACATTGGCAGATCTGAGGCTAAGAGTTCAAGGGGACTAACTCACCTCCTGATTCCACAAAGGCTGTGGACAGACCACCCTGCATTAACCAAACAAGTGGTAAGGAAGCCAAGAAGACAGAAAATCCAAATTGACCATATCTCTTCAATCTATCTGTCACAGATCCATCTGTTTATGACAGTATTGTAATGGGCTATCTACAAGGCACAAGTCAGGAATGTAATACAAATGTCTAAATGAGTGCAGCTTCAACAGTACTTAAGAAACCATGCACCATCAAATAACCCTCTTGCTTGGCTCCTCATTCATCACTTCAATATTCACTTCTTCCAACACAAACACAAAGAGGAAGCAATATGTACCATCTACAAGATGCAATGCAGCAACTCACCAAAGCTCTTACAATGGGACTTTATAAACACTCAACCTCTAACACCTAGAAGGATAAAGACGGGTGATGCATGGGAGTGCCACCACATGAATGTTCCCCTCTAAGAAACACCATCCTGATTTGGACCTTTATCACCATTTCATTATTGTCATTGGGTCATGATCTTGGAACTCCGACCCTAACATCACTGTGGATAGATCTACCCAGGATAGATTGCAGCATTTCAAAAAGGTAGCTATGTACCATCTTCTCAAGGGCAATAATGAACGGGCAATAAATTCTTACAATGCTTACATTATGTGAGCAAAGTTTTTTAAAAATCAAAATTGACTAGCATCCAGTATAAGTCAGGGATGATGTGTGAATGGAGCTTGGTATGAGTAAGGATACAGACAGCTGAGCTCTTATTAACTTCATGTTTACATTGGAAACATCAAGTTTAGAAGTAACAAAGGCATGAATGAGGATTTCAACAGCAGATAGATTTTATTTTTTTATTTATTCACAGGATGTGGGCATCATTGGCTGCCCAAAGAGCAGGTAAGAATCAACCACATTTCTGATGGTTTGGAGTCAGATGTAGGCCAGACCACGTAAGGATGAGATTTCCTGCCCTAAAAGCCAGTAGTGAACCAGATGGGTTTTTTTATGATAATTGTTTCATGGAGATTATTAGACAGACTCTTAATTCCAGATTATTATTGAATCCAGCACCTGCCATGGCGGGATTCAAACCTGGGTTCCCAAACATTACCTGCGTCTCTGGCTTAATATTCTTGTGACAATACCACTAGACTACTGCCTTCCCTAGACTGAGGCAGAGTTAGGTGGTGTTACCAAGGTGAAACTAGGTGGCCAGTGATGGTAAGATTTTGTGGTCCAAAAGTCAAGCATAAAACAAGGTTGTAAGCAATTTACCTCAGGCTCAGACTTTTACCAGGGAGAAGGATGGAGTCAGTGACGAGGGAATTAATTTTATGCAATCCCTTCAGTCTTTCCAATATTTAATTGGAGGAAGTTCTTGTTCATTTAGTAATGGATGTTTAACAATCAGTTTGAAAATCTAGAATCTGATTTGACATTGTAAGATTTCTTTGTAAGGGGTTCATAGAATCGCTACAGTGCAGAAAGAGGCCAGTCTCAGCACCAAGCCTCCAAACAACATCCCAGCTGGAAACCCACCCTATCAAGCATAACCCTGCATTTACCACAGCTAATCCACCTAACCTGCACATCTTCGGACTTTGGGTGCGAACCAGAGCTCCTGGCAGAGGCTCAGGTAGATACGGGGAGGATGTGCAAACTCCACAAAGACATTCAGCTGAGGCTGGAATCAAACCCAGGTCCCTGGCGCTGTGAGGTAGCAGTGCTAACCACTGAGCCACCATATCACCCTCTAGTGAAGTCCTGAGTGATATTCTACTGAAAGGCACTGATGGAACTCTGATGTCCAAATTACTCTAAGACGGGGAACATTGAATCTAGTACGTCCAGATATTTAGTCATGTTATTCCTCCCTTAAATTTCTGATTCTTCACACTGTTTCCCTCAACAAAAGGGTTGGAAAGGACTTGGTCTGTAACTTGAATGTAAATTCAATACAAAATTGGCTAGAAGGTAGAAGACAGAGGGTGGTGGTGGAGGGTTGCTTTTCAGACTGGAGACCTGTGACCAGTGGTGTGCCACATGGATCAGTGCTGGGTCCATTGCTTTTTGTCATTTATATAAATGATTTGGATGTGAATATAGGAGGTATGGTTAGTAAGTTTGCAGTTGACACCAAAATTGGAGGTACAGTGGACAGTGAAAAAGGTTATCTCCGAGTACAACGGGACCTTGATCAGATGGGCTGATGGGCCAAGGAGTAGCAGATGAAGTTTAATCTAGATAAATATGAGGTGCTACATTCCAGTAGGGCAAATCAGGGCAGGACGTATACACTCAATGGTAAGGACCTGGGAGCGCTGCCAAACAAAGAGACCTCAGAGTACTGCTTCATAGTTTTTTGAAAGTGGAGTCGCAGTTTGACAGGGTAGTGGAGAAGGCATTTGGTACGCTTGCCTTTATTGGTCACTGCATTGAGTATAGGATTTGGGAGGTCATGTTGCGGCTGTACAGGATATTGGTTAGGCCACTTTTGAAATACTGCATTCAATTCTGACCTCCCTGCTATGGGAAAGATGTTGTGAAACTTGAAAGGGTTCAGAAAAGATTTACAAGTATGTTGCCAGGGTTGGCGGGTTTGAGCTACAGGGAGCGGCTAAATAGATTGGGGCTGTTTTCCCTGGAGCATCAAAGGCTTCAGGGTGACCTTAAAGAAGTTTATAAAATCATGATTGGCATGGATAGGATGAATAGTCAAGGTCTTTTCCCCAGATAGGGGATAATTTTGAGATGAGAGGGAAAAAATTTAAAAGGGACCTAAGGGGCAGTTTTCTCATGCAGAGGGTGGTGCATGTATGGAATGAACTGCCAGAAGAAGTGGTGGAGGCCGGTACAATTACGACATTTAGCATCCCTACAGTGTGGAAACAGTCCCTTCAGCCCAACAAGCTCACACTGACCCTCAGAGCATCCCACCCAGACACATCACCCTACCATTTCCTTGTAACCCACCTAATCTACACATCCCTGAACACTATGGGCAATTTAGCATGGCCAATCCACCTAGCCTGAATATCTTTGGACTGTGGGAGGAAACTGGAGCACCTGGTGGAAACCAATGCAGACATGGGGAGAATGTGTATACTCCACACAGGGTGGGATTGAACCCAGGTCCCTAGCGCTGGGAGGCAGCAGCACTAACCACTGAGCCACCGTGCTACCCTTAAAAAGGCATCTGGATGGGTATATGAATAGGAAGGGACGCAGGCCAAATGCTGGCAAATGGATTAATTTAGGATATTTGTCAGCATGGACGAGTTGGACAGAAGGCTTTGTTTCTGTGTGGTATATCTCTATGACTCTTTGACTCTAAATGACTGGCAGGCAATTCAAGTTAGTCACACAGAACAGACAAGAGAATGACACTAAATCATAATGCTAATTTGGAAAGCTAGTACAGACACAATGGATCACATGGCCTCCTTCAGCATTATATCAATTTGGTGATTCTGTGATTCATTCCACTTCTCAACTCTTCTGCACAAAGGTGGATGACAAGAAGTCTAGTCTAATTCAACACCTTCTGATGTCCCAGATAAAATTTGAAACATTCCACATGTGATTCACAGTCAAGTTCACTGATTCAATTTTGAGAAGAACATAGACAGAATGATGGAAGGTAATCCCCAAAATAACCACATAACCAAAACAAATTTGAGTGATTTAGTCACCATGGATCAGCCATTCTAAAATCAGACGTACAATCTTGTATCTAACATTCTCATTCAACGGTACAGTAAGTACAAAAACAAAGTTGCTGGAAAAGCTCAGCAGGTCTGGCAGCATCTGCGAAGGAAAAAACAGGAGTTAACTATTCGGGTCCGGTGACCCTTCCTCAGAACAATAAGTACACTAGCCCAGTGATGCGTCAATATATTAAGTTAAAGCTGACATTTTAAAAGATGTGAGAATAGTTTTGGTAAATATATACACGGTATCCCTCCACCCCATCTCACCCATTACTCGCAACTGCAAAAAGAAAAGAAAGAGTTAGATCTATGTAGCATTTTTCATGTCCCAATCCACTACACAACTAAGAAATTACTTATAAAGTTCTGAAGAAGGGCCACTGGACTCAAAACATTAAATCTGTTTTCACTCCACAGGTGATGCTAGACCTACTGAGTTTATCTAGCACTTTCTGTTTTTGTAGATTACTTTAACACATAAGCAAATCCAGCAAAGAATTTGGTACAGCAAGGTTCCAAAATATGAATGAGGTAAATGACCAGAATGCCTGTTTAATTGGTGTTGTCTGACACAAGAATGTCAGAAGAACTTGGGCTATAGGATCTTTTACTCTTGCTACAGTGGACAAATGGGCCCCTCCATTTACCATCTCATTCAAAAGATGACTCTTCCAACAGTGCAGCCTTCCCTTTTTTGACATGCTGGAGGAGAGTTTGAAATTCTGATCTTCTGACTGAGAAGGAAGAGTGTTTGAACTGAACTGAGGCTGGCATTCTAGAATAAGGTCTACAGCTCATGATAAGAGGACACTATTTATTACTAAAGGATTACAAATAATTTAAGGTTGAGTTATCACATTTCCTAGGCACAGCAAGATCGTCAGGTAAGAAGCACACAAAGGTTATTACCGTAATCAAACAAACAGTTCCCCATTTGATCTGCAAGCCTATTGTACACATGTACATGTTCAGGGTTCAAACACTCATATTAAAATTGTGCATGTTAAAATAATGTATGTCTATGGGTTATATAAATATGCTTGCTTTAGCTGCTAAACCTCACCTGTCTGTGTCACAGTAGTAACTTGTGCTTTGACTTCACAAAATAATTTCCTTCACATATTAGAGGAAGTTCTCTTATTTATTAGAGACATCTAATATTATGTGTGCTTAAGGAGATAATGCCTGAAACTCTTAATAAAGCAACTACAAATTTTGTAAAAAGACTCAAATAGTGCCTCTTCTGCACAAGCTAAACATTGCAAGATAAAATAGGCATAACTTGCTGGAAGTATTCAATATTTGTGAGGAGTAAAGCACATTAATGTCTTTATCACATACCTTTATATTTAAATAAATTATGGTCCTCAGCCCAAGTTATAACAATAGGGGAGAAATTCTGCTTCTGCTTTGCATCTTTAACAATATTAATCGAGACAATATCATTCTTTCCATTTGTGCGTGGGCATGTAGAGCTTTGATGAAATCAGAGAGATTGGATATTTTATATGTTACAATTGAACTGTACATGCAAAGTAGATTAGAGCATTGGATAAGATGCAGTTTTCTCATAAAGCTTTACGCTGGACCAACTACTGTTCACAAATTAAAGAAATGATATGTACTCCAAAACTGGAAGTACAAATTTGCAAGACCATGGGGAATAGGCAGGAAATGACAATAGGTGATTGCACTTGCAGACAGCATATAAGTAAGCCTGCTTCTGTGCTGTAACTGTTTATGATTCCATAGTAAGATCTGAAAATCATGCAAACATGCAATACAAGGTACAGTTAATACAGAAGAAGACTGTGTCAAAATTACGTAAGTCATTAATAAGCTTGTAGAATTAACAAATGAACATCAATATGGCTAATGAGGTACAGAGTAGTAGAAAGTATGATTAGACCACCTTATCTTTGTGGAAATAACTATCTAAAAGAATGAAAGGAACAGAAAGATCTGGGAATACATATACACATTAATATATGATACAGGTTAATAAGATCATTAATAAAGGCAAAGTCATGGTTTTAATTTCTAGATACGTATAATTGAAAAATGGAATTTATGTGAAACTTGTACAGAACCATAGTGAGACTAAACTTCAAGTTGTAGGAAGTGTTTTGGTCTTCCTATTATATGAAGGATTTAGGGCACCGGAGAAAGCACACAACAAAAATTATGAAAGATAGTAGGAACTGCTGATGCTGGAGAATCCGAGACAACAAGGTGCAGGGCTGGATGAACACAGCAGGCCAAGCAGCATTATAGGAGCAGGAAGGCTGACGTTTCGGGCCTAGACCCTTCATCAGAAATGGGGGAGGGGAAGGGGGTTCTGAAATAAATAGGGAGAGAGGGGGAGGCGGATAGAAGATGGATAAAGGAGAAGATAGGTGGAGAGAAAACAGACAGTTCAAAGAGGCGGGGATGGAGCCAGTAAAGGTGAGTGTAGGTGGGGAGGTAGGGAGGAGATAGGTCAGTCCAGGGAGGACGGACAGGTCAAGGGGGCGGGATGAGGTTAGTAGGTAGGAGATGGGGGTGCGGCTTGAGGTGGGAGGAGGGGATAGGTGGGAGGAAGGACAGGTTAGGGAGGCGGGGACGAGCTGGGCTGGTTTTGGGATGTGGTAGGGGGAGGGGAGATTTTGAAGCTTGTGAAATCCACATTGATACCATTGGGCTGCAGGGTTCCCAAGCGGAATATGAGTTGCTGTTCCTGCAACCTTCGGGTGGCATTGTTGGGGCACTGCAGGAGGCCCAGGATGAACATGTCGTCTGAGGAATGGGAGGGGGAGTTGAAATGGTTCGCGACTGGGAGGTGCAGTTGTTTATTGTGGACCGAGCGTAGGTGTTCTGCAAAGCGGTCCCCAAGCGTCTGCTTGGTTTCCCCGATGTAGAGGAGGCCACAACGGATACAGTGGATGCAGTATACCACATTAGCAGATGTGCAGGTGAACATCTGCTTGATGTGGAAAGTCTTCTTGGGGCCTGGGATGGGGGTGAGGGGGGAGGTGTGGGGACAGGTGTAGCACTCCCTGTGGTTGCAGGGAAAAGTGCCAGGTGTGGTGGGGCTGGAGGGGAGTGTGGAGCGGACAAGGGAGTCACGGAGAGAGTGGTCCCTCCGGAAAGCAGATAAGGGTGGGGAGGTAAAAATGTCTTTGGTGGTGGGGTCGGATTGTAGATGGCGGAAGTGTCGGAGGATGATGCGTTGGATCCGGAGGTTGGTGGGGTGGTACGTGAGGACGAGGGGGATTCTTTTTTGGCTGCTATTGCAGGGACGGGGTGTGAGGGATGAGTTGCGGGAAATGCGGGAGACACGGTCGAGGGCGTTCTCGACCACTGAGGGGGGGAATTTGCGGTCCTTGAAAAATGAGGACATCTGAGATGTACGGGAGTGGAATGCCTCAGTCTGGGAGCAGATGCAGCGGAGACGAAGGAATTGGGAATAGGGGATGGCATTTTTGCAGGAAGATGGGTGGGAGGAGGTGTATTCTAGGCAGCTGTGGGAGTCGGTGGGCTTGAAATGGATATCGGTTTCTAGGTGGTTGCCCGAGATGGAGACAGAGAGATCCAGGAAGGTGAGAGAGGTATTAGAGATGGTCCAGGTGAACTTAAGGTTGGGGTGGAAGGTGTTGGTGAAGTGGATGAACTGTTCGAGCTCCTCGTGGGAGCACGAGGCGGC